TGCTGTTCAAAACCGTCCGCAACATATTTGCGGAACGTGTTATTTGTTTTGTTGCGACAGATCTGTCGAAGGTTTCTTTTCGCGATATCATCGTCTCTCCACTAGAAGCTTCCTACTTGCCTAATGTATACACTGTACACCAATGATCACCAGAGTTTGTTTGACAACCTATATGATGCATTCCAATGGGCGGTTTGCTTGTGATGTGCTCAGGTTAGATTGCATGCTAGCCAAAACCATACAACACCAGCGATTTGTCCAAAAGAGCCGCACAGGTTCCTTGCACGTGCGGCGATTGTCGTGATTGCCAAACTTGTACCCCCATCCGGTCACAGATCTTCTTGCATGTTGGCTTTCGAGGTGGCTGGTCATAGACTTATAAGTTTGGGTTGGATTGGGTCGTTGATTGCGATGTTGCAGACTTTGTTCCCGTCATTCCCTCACTTCCGAGCCTCTAGGATGGTCCTCAAGGTTTGCCGCACTAATGCTGCAACTGATGAAAGCTTCCCTCCGAGAACGCTTTGCAAAGGGCAGGTCGAGCAACTCCCCACTTCGGCCAGGTCCAGGCCTGGGAACAGCTTGGCAGTTCGGGATGATATCAGCACACAGCTTTGTGGCCAACTTTGGGAGATCAAGGAGGAGATTTGAATCGTTCGACATGTGCAACATGTGTTGACTATTTTTGTTCCTTTCGTTGCAGACTGTGACTCATTGTTTTTCACCAGGCCAGTGACCAGTGTATTATTGTGTATTTGTATATATTAACCAATATTGCATGTATACGCATGCGCTAGAGTTGGCCGAGACGGCTTGCAATTGTGTGACGACTGTGACGACTGCAGTTCATTTGACATGGAAACGCGAGGAGCTCAAGCTGGCTTCTAAGGAGACTTGGCTTCCAGTGACCACAAGCCTGCGTAAGGGAGCTACATACAGATACCACAGTAGACGAAGGTTCAAGCCCCTACGAACTGAACTCCTCTCCCCCCAGTCTCAATGTTAGCGTCCTTGCTCCTAATAGCGATGCCCTTTGCTCCTAGTAGCTTCTTGTTACTAGTAGTAAGGCCAGGAGCCCCTAGTAGATTTGGTAGCGTCCTTGCTCCTAGTTCGATCCTTGACGGTCGGGTTTGCCCCAAGCTCCCTGAAGCCATCCTATGAGATTTGCCCAGGGGGTGGCATGTGAACTGAAAGGGTTTGAAGATTGTGTCCGAAGCCTTGAAGAACTACAGGTATTGAGCCAACTGTTTCTGAGTTTGTTGAGGTTGCGTTGCAAACAACGTTAACACTTTAAAGCCATTCAAATCGCTTTCTCGTGAGCTTTCAATGTTCACCTCGTAATTCCATGTTGTTCCATTTAAAGGTCCAGCTGTTCGCCACAAACACCCAGGAGGATGAACTCCACCGGATGGAATTGCAGAAGCAGCTTTTTGAGGCCTGAAAGAGTTTGCAGAAGCCGTTTCCTTTTGGTTCTTCCGTTGTTGTCCCACCAATTGAGAGCTGGAGTATCATACATAATTGGGAGGCAGTGAGGCAGTGACCTGAATTGGCAGCAGATCATTGAGGAAGTGGAAGGTGACCTTCGTTTAAAGCAACGATCTCAGACCCAAATTCTTAGGGGGAAGAGTTGTAGACGATCGTTGCAGCGTGCAGTCTCAGTCGGGGACTGTTCTCAGGGCCAAAAGGAGCTGCGGCGTGAACTCTTTGCCTCTTACTTGCAGATAGCGCAGCGAAGAGCCGGCAGTTTTGAAGCACAGTTACGGTAGAATAGAGTGTGCTGATGTGCCCTGAATATCTCTCCTACTCAGTGCAGCATGCAGCTGAGTATTCAGGAGCTTTGGAAGGCATGTGACTCCATGTCAGAATCCTCGTGATCCTTGTTTCATGTCGCTTTGATTCTCAGGAGGCCATGAAGGGCTCAAAGCTAGACTTTCCTAGAGGCAACGAAGAGGCCCTGTGCGCAGCTGTCCGTGCCAAATAAACTGTACTAGCAGATACTGTAGTTGCAATTGCACTATGTCACGATCTGGGTATTGGGGAAGTTGATAAGTTGAACAAGCAAGCAGTTTCCTTGCAAAGATGCCAGGCCACTTATCAGATATTATCAGATCCTACACATAGGGAGGTGATCGCGTGTTCTTCTTTTGTAGTTATGATGCCTCGTTCAATTTCTTGAACTTCGCAGATTTACTGCCAACAGCTTGCGTTTGCTGGTTCTATTGGTCAGATGTCCCTCCAGGAAAAGAGCTTTCATTCGATTGAGGGCGACTCCTTTGCTGCTACCCAGCTAGAGGCGACTGCGGGTTCGGGCAGGGATTGCACTTGACATCTACACACATCCGCTGGGCTTCAGGGTACTTTTTTGGACATGACACACGGAATATGCCGCTTTGAAAAGTCCCGGGTACACCAGGGGTACAATGCTTCAGAATCCTCATAATGACCCGCTCGGAATTGGAACTCATGGACCGGTGAGGCTGGGTGGCGAATAGGGCTCAGGTATTACCGTTGTACTTTGACATGCACTTTATCATTCTAGAACCCTGTCTGAGTACATATTTGAAATGTTTTTTGTTTGTTTCAGCTTTATATACTGTAGTTATAGAAGGATGTGATGTGCAACATCGGAATTAGGTTGGGAACACGATATAGCCCCATCAAAAGCATTTTCTACCTTCTTTGCTGATGGAAGTTGAAATCAAGGAATGTATGCTCAGGGAGACACCAAACGATATCCATTTGAGAAAACAAGGGAAATATCACCTTAAGGCATTGTCCTGACAAAGTGTTGTGGAGAGACATCATCAGCCCATGAGCAAACTTTTTATTTCAAAGGCTTTGTTGAGCGTCGCAGTGTCAGCGTGAAATCCCATCCCACACCAGGGCTATGTTAGCTATGCGAGTCGGAAGGGTTAAGGAGGATGACTGCCCTTAACAGCAAATCTGTTATGATTTGCATTGCTCAAAATACATTTTTTCAGGAAGTGCCTAAATGCCAGATGCAAGAATAACATCATGTCGATTGAAGAAGCTGAAGAAGCCGTGCTCGAAGCTTGCTTCCTCAGGTATCCCAGCTTGCTCATGAACTTCGCCAGGATATCAAAGACCAAGCAGAAATCTCCAGGCAGTTCCAGGTGGGCCAACTTGTCCGCTGAGAGAATCACTTCACCCATGAGTTCAAACCTATTAAAGCAGGACGCCCCCGAGAAAGTAGTAGTAGTCGTGCCCCCCCCCCCC